CTTATAGCCTCTCTGAAGTAGATGATACGAACATTTTCTTGTTAGGAAACTGAGTCTTTCCAACAGGACACAGGGCCAGGTCTGCCAAATCACTCCACCCAGGCCCCAGACCCACAGGCACCTATGCTGCTCACTGCCACCCAGGGATGTCAGGCAGCTCCTGTAGTCCACTGACCTCCTGAGTAGAGTTTTCTCTTTAGTTTTAATCCTCTATTCAACCCAACACAGTGAAAAGCCATGGCACTGCCTAATTGTCTTTTTTGTGTGAATGTGTGCACGTGTGTGTAAGAGTGCACAAGTGAGCAAGGGAGAGTGTTATTGGACAGGCCTACAGGAGGGCCAGCACCTTCATGGTAACAAGGACAGAGGCAGGGCTAACTTTGAGACAACACAGCATGTTGATGTGGCCATGATCAGGACGGACAGAGCACTTCCTGCAGTCTGCTCAGTGTGTGTGCTGGGAAATGTTTGAAGAGAATGCAGTTGCTTTCACCCAGGCAGGTTTCCTGACTCAGAAGTAAATTGCTGAGGTTCACCAGCCAAAGACCAGGGCCCATGTGGTCCATCAGACTTGGAGGTACATGTGCCAGTGTCCCCGGGCCTGTGTGCCAGCTGGCCTTTAGAGACATTCCTCCCTGCTTGTGTTTTGTTTTGTTTTTGGTACCAGGGATGAAACTCGGGTCCTTGCACTTGCGAGGCAGGCTGCAGAACCACTGAGCTAAATTTCCCAGCCCTCCTCCCTGCGAGTGGGAAGAGGTTAGAGTCAGCTGTCCTGTTCTTTCCAATTGGCCAGGCTTCGTTCTAGCACCGTGCCAGTTCTGACCACACAACAGAAGTGAGCATGGGGTCACTTGCGGAGGGGCTGAGTGAGGAGATGTGGGGTAGGAGGTTTGAGATGCAAATGCCCGAGCAGAGAGGACAGGTGGCGACTCAGTACTGCTAAGGGAAGCTAAGGCAGGAGGATCACAAGTTCGAGTCTTTGGTCTCCTTTGTGAAGTGAGACTGTGTCCCTGAAAAGGGTCGAGGATGTAGCTCACTGGTAGAGTGCCCTGGGATCAATCCTCAATAGCCACCAGAAGAAAAAATAAAAACTAAATAACAGCAACAACAAAAAGATAGCCTACCAGATTGAGGCAGAAATGCTCATGAGCCATAGCAGCCATGGAACGAGGAGAAGAAATTATGGTCTTGGAAAAGGAAGGGATTCCCAAGACCCTATGAACAGATGGGTCTACGGAAAGCTTGACTAGTAGCTGGGCAGAGGGGCGTATACTGTACCTGTTATCCAAACTACTCAGAAAGTTGAGGCAGGAGGATCTTGAATTCAAGGCCAGCCTGGGCCACTCAATGAGACCCTATCTCAAAATTAAATTTAAAAAAAGGTGTGGGGATGTAGCTCAGTAGCAGAGCCCAAGGCCTTAGTTCAATCCCAATAAAAAGAAAGCTTGGCTAGTGTAGGATACGGTGAGCTGTTGAGCTGTAGTTCTGATTTTTGTCCTCTCCTTGGTGGCACAGTGTTCTGTGTGCACAAAGGAGAGTCTGAGTTTTGGGGAGACTTGGAAGAACCCCTTCTCACACTGGCTTCTCAGGCCCACATGATAGCCTTGGCTTTGTGTCCTCACAATATGCAGGCTGGGCTGTGTGACCCCAAGGTTCCTTCCCGTCTGAAGGCTCCCGTCTGGGAAGGGTCTTCTTTCAGACCCACAGATGCTTTCCACTTTGCTACCTCAAGCCCTGGCCTCCTTACTTCTTGACTCCCATATATTTTGTGTTATTTCAATGTCTCCACAGTGCTCCTCTTCTTCCTTTTCTCTAGGGCATAAACATGTGCTCTAAGCACACCTTTTGAAGCGGCTTGGGTTATCCATCCCCATCCTGCTCTGGGTCCTCTTGGTCCAGCTCCAGCAGGCATGGCTTATATTCTGCTTAATGCTGGTTACCATCTTGAGGCTCCTGTACCCCTGGTCTGCCTGCTAGGTCCCACTCTCCTCCAGGCCAAGGACCATGGCAGTGTTTCGGTCACCCTTTGTCATGCCCAATTCAGGGCAGAGTGCACAGTGGGTGCTGGAATGAGCTGGCTGTCACAAGGGTGGGCACTAGACCAAGAGGCAAAATGGCACAAGCACAGGATGTGAGGTCAAGCTCTGCTTCTACTTCCTAGTTTATGTAACTTTCTGAACCTCAGTTTTCTCATTTGTGAAGTGGGGCACATCTAACCCTTGGGGCTTTTTTTTTTTTTTTTTTTTACCAGGAATTGGACTCACTACCTTGTGCTTGCCAGGAAGGTTCAGTACCACTGAGCTCAGTCCCCAGACCCCCTTGGGGCTTTTAAGAGTATTCTCCAGGATTGCTGGGAAACATCCACCCTGACCTCTCTTTGGAGCTTGATGCCCACATTCATCAGCATGTGCTGGGCTTTGCATCTTGGAAGAGGTTTCTTGAACCCCAGCCGGCTGGAATTCTCTGTGGTCATCTGAATTTACCTGTCCAGGCTCATGCACATCCCTGTAGCCCTGGGACAGAGGTCTCCTTTCTTCTGAAGATGCCTTGTGAGGTGGGTCTGGCCAAGACACAGAGAAACAAACAAGCGTGGAAGATTCACGCCAACAGTCCAAAGAAAAAGATCAGTAGGCAGGGGCCTCAGCATCGGTTTACAGGGCTGTTAGTCCAGTGCACAGCCTGAGCAGCAGGACAGACCTGTGTCTTAGCCTCCACCGACATGCTCCGTGCAGACCTCATCCCAGTAATGGTCTCACACGTTGCTTTATTAGCCCTCTCAGCCCCACCGTCTCCCAGCTGTGTGACCTCAGACAAGTTACCTAGCCTCTCTAACCCATGGCATCATCAGTCAAATGGGGATAATAGCGTCATTGGGTTCTTTAGCAAATTAAAGGTTATATTCTATATAAAATGCTTTACATGTACCTGGCACATAGTCAGGGCTCAATAAATATTAGCCACTTTTACAAATAACAATAACCATTCTGAAAGCCCTAGAAGAGAGATTCATTCCCTCACTCACTTACTTACAGCAGAGTTCATACAGCAGCGTTCAGTAAAATTATTTCCTCATGATCTTATTAACTACTGTCTAACCAAATGAATAAACCCCACATTATCTTATTCACCACTGAATGCGCACCATAAAAGTGTTCCCCCTCATTTTCATTTATAGCTCTGAGTGTCTCCAAGAAGGTGCCCCCATTACACCATCTCCCCCTGTTTTGTTGGGCCCCTCTTCCTGTCCGTGCCAGCTCCATCCTTCCTTTAGGCCAGGGTGATTCCTGCGGGAACCTAACCTGCTGTCTGCATTGATATTCTGCCCCTCAGGTTCAACACAGAGCTCACTTGTAGAAAAAGCTGCAATTATTAGCATTTTTTGAGTGCGTGCGTGTGTGTGTGTGTGTGTGTGTGTGCGCGCAGATTGGTATCTTTTCTACACAAATCATGTTTCCCCCACCTACTTCTGTAATGAATGTGAATAGAGGAGACTGAACAGACAGAAGCTAACTGTGGCACCAGTCTCTGCTGGGATTGGTGGGCAGCTGGGATTACAGGTGTGGTGCAGGTGAGGGAGGGGAAGGACCCACCCCGAGGAGGAGAGGGGGAGGGGGCTTGCGAGCAGAGGGAATCATTTCCAGTCAGAAGCCAGGTGGAGGGAAAGGCCTGGGGAGAGCATGAGCAGCTGTGGCAGGGACGAAGAAAGATACGGCTGACCCCAGTGGGAGGAAGGGATTAAGACCTGAACCCCAGGAGTGTTGGTTGGCATCCTGCAGCTCTCAGTTTCTTTCAGGCCAAGAAAATAGGTGGAAAAATCAGGAAGAAGGGAAAAGAGAACCCTCAGGAAAGGAGGACTAAAGGCCTGAACTGGGGCTCACCAGACAATGCCTTCAAGTGGAGGAAGAGTCTCTTGGAATGTATCTTTTACCTTCTCCTTTCCCAGTGGATGTTAGTGGTTAGTAATGCACACAACACAGGCACACAGAGGCCAGCAGTGATTTATACCTGCGTGTATGTAAACGAGGGCATGCCCAAACACTTTTCACTCAGGTGCTGCTGCTGATCAAAAACGTTTCTACTGTCCCGACTGTAAAGATGGGGATTGAGAGGCCAGGAGAGAAACAGGAGGAGGACAACACTGGGACTGGAAAGGCAGGGAAGAGCTCCCCTGACTATCGGGAAAGGATGGGATGGTGCTGGAGGCATCGGAGGCCCAGCTGTGGACCTCCCGCGGAGTGGGCAAGACCCTGGCGTGTCTAATCCTGGGCCTTGCTTCTCGACCTTGCCTGCTCCTGAAAACGAAGGAAGGATATGCTGGCTCGGGCCACCTAAGTTCCTTTCCCCAGAGCAGAGACTCATCAGTATTTTTAAGCGCCTCGAGGCCATTTGCCATGAAACCCTGGTTAGCGACCGGTCCTGCTAAATGCTGGGATCCTTATTAAAGTCCCGCGCGGGGCTGCAGTGGGCCGGAACGCAGCTCCGAATAGGCAGCGGAGTAGCTGCTTGCAACCCCCAGGCACCTGTGACCGCGAGCTCCAAAGACAGAGGGTGTGAACGGGACCACACCGCAGAGGAGCTCGGCCGGACCGGGGACTCTAGAATTAGGGGGGGTGGGGCGGGGGTGCCGGAAGGTGTTGAGGCTCGCTCGCTCCGGGGACGGGCGGGCGGGCGGCGCAGCCAGCGCTTTGAACTTGCGTGGAGCCTCCCTAAGGAGGGCGGGGGAAGCCCAGGTGCCGCGCTGGGCTGCCTTCACCTGCGCGTCCTCAGCGCCGTGGGGGGACGAGGCCAAAGGAGA